GTGTGTCAAACTTTCAACTTTCCTCTTAGCTTCATTATAACTAACTTCATGTTTCCTCATATATGCCAATGTCTCAGTCTCCTTCTTCAGGCTGCTACACTCGGCAGAGCCTGATTGATGGGGACCTCCACAATTGGCACATCTAAGAACAGTACTTGTGCATGTAATGGTGTCGTGGGCTTCAGCACATTTTCGGCAAGTGAATTTGTTAGTATCTTTGTCAATACATCTTAATGAAGTGTGTCCGAATTTTTGGCATCTATTACAGTGCATTGGCTTTTGAACGTAAGGTCTTACTTGAACACGTTCATATCCGACATTGACATATTCGGGGATCTTGTTTAAAGCAAAGGTCAAAAAACACAGTCCAGTTTTCGTTCGCACATTCCCGTCCTTCTTGGTCATACAATGAACGTCCACTACGTCTTGGTCCTTCATGCTCTCGAGAATTTCACTTTCTTCCATCGTCCTCAAATCCCTGTGAAAGATTACTCCCTTACAGGTATTTGGGCCAATAGGAATAGTTAGTTTAACTCGGAGATCATGAATTTGCGTCAGCTTAAGTAAGTCCTTAATCTGGGAGTTGTATTGCACTTTAACAAGAAGGCTTCCATCTCGCAATTTTCGGACAAAATCAAAATCGCCGTCCACTTGACCATCAAGGACCTTTTTGATGATAAAGGGGTTCACGTTCAAAAGCGATTGATTTTCATTTACGCATTTAACATTCGCGAACCTTGCATTCTTTGGAGGGATTTGTAAAAGTGGTCTTCTGGGTCTGTCAGTCGGGGTTCCATTGCTCATAGTCGAATCGGTCGAAGATCGGTCATGGGTCGTCCCAGCTCCTTGAGGAGGAGCAGGGGTAGCCGGGGTAGCAATCATACTGGGTAAGTCCGACCCCTGGGCCCTTGCCCTTTGTCCTGAAGGGACCAGAAAAACCCTTAACTATTGTTAACCACCCTAACAGCAATAGCTAAGAGAGTATGGCAGTTTTCGTCCTCTACCCCCTCAGTGGAAGCCTGGTTGCGTTCTCCAGTACCACAGAGGGATCGAGTTATGTGGGACACTTCCCTACCGCCGAACTTGCCGAAGCGAAGGACGGTAAGTCTATGCTCACCCCCCAAGCGAATACGGGAGCCCCGAGGGACCTCCGGTAGGCTCAGGAAAGTCACATGAAAAAAGTGCGCCCTAATGACGCCCCAGACTGCTGGGCCTCCCTACCCAGGGGTCAATGCCCGTGAGGGCTACCCTGATGTAGAAGAGAGCTGCGGGTCTGAGGAGGGGTGCCGACTACGCCTACTGTAGTCTCGTGTCACCTGCAAACGCAAAGCACTGAAGGTGCAGGCAAAGCACAAAGTGCACA